TTGCGAAAGGTCCTCGTGGGTCGCATTCTGTGTGCCGGGGCCAAGGACCTTGAGAGTGGGCGGGGAAAAATTACAGAGACAGCAACAGGAACCGCAGTGGGAGTCGGGCTTAATGTCAGTGTTTGAATGTTTAACTGGCTCCGTTAATTAAATTGCCCGTCTCTGGCTGTGTCCCCTACCCTTGGATACTTTTCCACCTGTTTCCCGGCCGCAAATTAAGTCAAAGTTTTCCATTCCCATTTACAGGTTTTCCTGCTGTCTGTTGCATAATTTGCACCCCAAGCTTCTTTTGGCCGGGACTTCCCCTTTGGCGGTCGCGTGGCGGCACAAAAAACTTGGCTAAATGGTTTGCCATTAATTTTTCGTGGCATGCCGGTTATTAACCCGTCTGCCTGCTACCTGATGGTACCCCTCCATTCTTTTCCCCATGTTGCACTCATATTTTTGCAGCGAAGGCGTGGAAGCCCTGTGGGCGTGGCTGACACAGTTTGCAAATCAAAGCTGAAAATCACAGCTGGCTTTGGGCGGGCTGTAACTAATTGAAAAATTACTAAGCCCTCGGCTTCTGGAAAACTTGGGTAACACAAGAAAAAGAACGGAAAATGCATATGTGATTAGAATGTTTCTTGGCTCTAAATACTATTATTATTCGTTTGATTAATGTCTAAAGGTAGATTGTCATTTCTATTTAATATCTTAAAATATCTTAATTCAGCTAACAAAAAACCATAACCATTTTGAAGCGCAATCAACACTCGTTTCGCTCCAATTAAAGAGCGTTGCTGAAAAGATTACACTAGCTTTATAAATATTTAACAAACTCTATTAGTAAAACTAGGCCATTCTCTGTCTAATATAAAGCAATGTCAGGCATTAAAAATAGTTTCTTTCTGTGGTCTTTTTTATCTTACTACCGAGTAATTTCCTCAGCAACTTGGTAATTTGTTCCACTTAATTCTATTGTTGTTGACTCAGGTCGGGGCTGGGAATACACGACGTGACTGCTCCTGAAACTGGCTTATTTGATGAATTCAATTGAATTTCGGTCACATTTTCAATTGTCCGACAATCGAAATGCATTTTGGCTTTCATAAATAAATACGTTTGTTAAATTGTCCATGCTCCGTAGGTTTCGAAGCCGGAATCCGTATTCCGGGTATGGTCCTGTTTGCATGACTGCCCCGAAAATCCCCCTCTCTCCGGAGATTCTACGCCTGTTTGTCACTGGATTTGAATATGCTTTTGATGCTCATCACGTGGCCGGCCAAAAATTGCCTACAGTTGAGCCAGAAAGCCGACACGGGTTGGGGTCAGGGTTCAGGGTCCTGAGTTTCGAGTTTCCAGTCGCAAGTCCCCTTGGATCAAAGGCGCATTTAAGCAGCTTACCGTCAAATGAAAAGCGATTGAAATTTTCATGAATTCCCATCCATTGCCGTAATGAAAAGTGTAGCACAATAAATGCGATTGGCTTTCCTTCGCAGAACTTTTAGCCAACAATTAGTCGAATTGAAGAACAGTTTGTCGAACGCTTTTCAGCAGGACATTAATTGATTTTCGCCGTCAGTTTGATTTTCAATTTTCCACCACGCCCCCTAAGCCCAAGTTAAATGTGGCTAAAAACCAACAGCGGCAAAACAACGGCAAACATGACGAAAAATTGGGAGCAAAATCCCTCAACTTTGATTGCAACATTTTTTTCCGCCAGCGAAACATTTTTCAGCTCTTTTCCCCACAAAATCCACAAACAGCTGGAGCCTTAGATTCGGATTTTTTTTTCTAATTTTCCGTTGTAGTTTCACTCGTTTTCTCTTCTTTTTTTCATACTTTTTGTTTTTTCTTTGCATTTCTCTTTTTATGTTTTCAGAGTCGGATTCAGTAGTTTTTAGATGAATATTTATTAAATTACGCTCAGATAGTAATATTTTATGCTACCACAAATTAAAAGAACTTTGAGAAATAAGTATAGTTTTAAAATTATATAACAATAACGATACATGAATAGTAAGAACATTTTTGGTTTCAATAGTTTTTCAACTTAATCCGCTCCTGACCTCCGGCATCACATTCATTTTGCATTCCCCTATATTTTCCTTATTTTTCCAGATTTAGTGGGTAGCTTTTTTTCGAAGCCGGAACTGGCAAAAGTGTTGCTTGCAAATGTTTACAGTTTAGTTGTGCGGATGTGATAAAAACAATTTGATTGCAAAATAAACTGCACACAGCATCGAACTAGAGAGGACGGGGCAAAATTGCAAAAAAATGTGTGATTGGCGAATGGAAAATGGCATTGGCATTTTTGGCAGAGCCCAGGACACAGGGAAAATGCTTGAGGAAAAGTGCAGAGCACCGAACCGGAATGCGAATGGGAAATGTTTGATTGAGTCCCCGTTTGAATTGAATTCGGACATCAGCAGCCGGCTGTAAAAGGAAATTCTCCAGAATTTCAAAGAGGAGAAAACTGAATTTTAGCATACGCCAGGGTTATTTCACTTTTCAAAGTTCGGCTCCTAATTCGGTTAAGCATTTTATGGGTGCACACTCTACGGATGAGTGGAATCCGAGTGCTTCTGGTTCGATTTGGCTATCATCGAATGGGTTAATTGACTATTAGATAGTGAAATTAAATGGGCTATATTTAAACATTTATTTAAGTTTGTTTTTGCACTTGATTAGTTGTTTTAATCACAATAATTGATTGCTTAAAATCAACTTTTAATTAATCGAAATATATTCTGTAATTTCAATCAATTTGTAATTCGGTAATTTTCATTACGTAAGGAATACAACCTATTTAACAAACATTGAACTGATTCCATTTAATCGGAAAATGTTCATAAAATTGAGTTAACAAACTCGGAATTTAAATTTCCCTTTCTTGCTTTAATTGGAATTAAATATACTAAAATAAAAGACATTCTCCTGTTAATCCTTTCCATGTTAATCTGTGTCAAGTCCAAACGTGGCCAGTTTCGATGTCACTTTGTCCAATTGTCCTTGTTTCCTTTTGACCGCCTGTCTGTCAGTGGTAAGTTATGTGATTAATGGCAACCAAATGGGGGTGGCCCTTCTATGGGCGTCTAATTACATTCCGTCCGTCTGACAAACGGGAACAAAAAACTCATTAACGCACTTGCAACATGTCCTAAATATAATATTCATAATAGTTTCCCCAATTCCTCCTCTTCTCTTTGGTTTAACATATGCGCAAAAGTTTCCGAAAGCTGTAAAAAATAAGCTAGAATGCTATTGCTCAGAGTACCGATAGTCTGTTACCCTGTTTTAAGCACTTATTGTTCAATTTTTATTTGTTAATTTTCTATTTAGATAATAAGATAAAGTTTTAATCAAATAAGTTTATACAATCCATAGTAGCTTACTCATGTATATATATTATACATTTTTTTTAGCTTAAAGTCATTTTGTAACTATGTATGCAGTTTGGTTGTCTATTATTTTGAACATGACATTAATATTTTATAGAATTTTTAGAGGACCTTATACGTACATTTTCCCGAAACCATGTACCCTTGCAGTTTACGAGGTATAAAAACTGAAACAAAAGTGGAAATAAAAACGCAGTGTATGTCGCTCATGAGCGTTAACTTTTCGGCGAGTGTTGCCTTTATGCATGTTGCTAGTGAATAAGGCTAGTGGGTGGGTGGAAAACGGTGGGTGGGCGGAAAATCGTCATGACTCCACGTATTCGCATTACACATGAGCGAAAGTATTTGTGAGAGCCACATGTTTTACATGAATCACAGTTAGTTTTCGGATGCTTTTCCACTTTTCATGCCGGCGAGCTGGAAATGTGTACATAAACCACAGACGTGACAACAAAACTGCGGGCTCCCTTATGCTGTCCTCAGTGTCCTGCGAAAAGTGACAAAAGCATTGACAGGAAACAAAACTGTCCACACGGCCAAACACAGCAACGTAAATAAAGCTGGGTCACAGAAACAAATGAAAAGCCAAGCGAATAAAATGCAGCCAAAGGAAACTTTTTGTTGGCCAAGGATCATGGTCACGGTCGCCCGAACAGATAAGATAAGGACCCTTCGATTCGCTTTCGGATCCATATGAGGATGTGGCTGCCAACTTTTATTGATGGTCGACCGCAAAGTTTTGGGGTCATTTCTCCGACGTAAGCCATGACCTTTCTAGAGTTGTCATTTCTTTGAACTAGTTGGTCAAGTGTATCCCCATATTCGAAAGGTCATTAAAGTATTTTGTTTGTTCTTTACTCTTAGGACAGTTCCTGGTTTTAAAAGAATTTCATCAAGATTGCTTCAAAAGATGCCTAGATATTGAAATTTTGTAATATATTTATAAATGTTTCACAAATATAAATAAATTCATAAAAAAATTGTGCTTATATACATTTTATAATTTAAGTTACAATGCCCTTATCTATTTTAAAAGTTATATATATGCATATTTTCGCAATAAACAAACAATAAAATAGTAATTTTTACAATTCCTATGCCAATTATTCTTGATTCTCATATTTGATGGCATGTATTTCCAATCTTTGTGAATTTACCAAAATTAAATTTGTTTGTCACCTTAACAGACCAATGGACATTTACAATTAAACGATTTAAATTGAATGAGATAACACAATTTTTCTCGGTCAATCGACTCTTGAGGAGAGTTCAAATGAATCAGTTTGAGCGCAGGAACCACACAGCACTAATGCCACACCAATCAGGATCTGTATCAGGAATTTGTGTGTGCGGTGTTTCTGCTGGTTTTGTGTGCTGGGCCAACTGTCAGGCGAGTGTCAATTGTTAATTAAATGTATACCCTCGCCAGTTGCTGCCGCCGAGTTCACTTGATTTGTTTGACCGTACTAAAGCTGTAGCTATCGCAACATATATATAATATGTATATATATAGTCTGGCTTTTGGGAGCGAACCTCCGAGGCTGTCACACAAACTCAGATACATTTATTGCAAAAGTTTGCTACGACAGCATCTAATTTGTGTAAGCTTAATGTTAATGTTGTTACGGCCTTGACAGTTTTATTGCCCGAACTAATAACTTAATTGACAATTCGTAATACGGGGGGTGGTGCTCTTTGCACCTGTTGTGTCGTAATGTTCGTAATTTATGAACTGAAACATAAATAATCGGCTCAATTGATGCTGCACAATTTGATTTATTAATTTTCGACATCGAGCCAGTGGAGTGAATAATCCGATAAATGCCGGAAAGTATGCCATGTATTTGGGATTTGTGCGGATTTCCTATGTGTCGGATCCTCCAATAACTTGCAAAATATCCAAAAAAATATTTATCACATCCATGTAGAGATTGAGGGCGGCGAAAATGTACTCCTCTGGACTAATGGAGTACCTGTGCCTGCCGCCCAACATCAGTTGTGTGTCGTAAACTAAGTAAACGGAAAAGAGCAAGGCGCTTAAGGATGCATACAGGGTGGTGAACAGACCGCCGCCAACGAACATGGTCAGGATGCCGAAGAGCAGCAGGATAATCAGGCAGCTCACCAGGATGCCGCCCATCATGGTGAAGTCGTAACGAGTTTGCAGTGCAAATAGAGTGAGTCCCAGGCAAACTGCCGCCGTAATTACCACGGCCATGAAAATCTCCTTGGGAGCATAGCGACACGCAGCTATGCCCAGTAAAAAGGATTCGGCTAAAGTGAAGGCTGCCAGAAGGATAAAATTCACCGGTGTTCGACGACGGAGGTCCTCGTTGCAGGCCAAAGTCACCAATATAACCACCACGACTAACAGGGCCAACAGAAACATCCAAGTGGATTTAGCCACCTCCAGTCGAACCTGCTTGTCCACAGTAAGTCCTGCGATCACCACCAGCGATGTAATCATTTGCGTTAACAGGATCAGGTACACCTTCCGGATGAATCCACGCCGGATGCTGTCGTTGCAGGACCCAAACCCCTTGTCTTCACCTTCCGGTTCGTTGTCCGATCCGTAGGCTCCATATCTTCCCAGCGGAATGCACTCCGCCTGATGGCTCCGATTTCCATACTGCTGCACTGGTTCTCCGACAACCTGCATAGTGTCCTCAGGATGTCGCACTTGTTATTGTTTATTTTTTAAATTTCAATCGGTGACATCAATAAAACTAATTGAGGGCTTGTACTTGACAGAAATGTCATAAATGGCAGAAAATTCTTTTATATATATTTTTAAATCAATCGAAAGCAGATGAAATTCCGATTGTAATTCCATTTTTTTTTAATTAAATTCAAGAACCCTTTAAAATTACCCTGTCAAAATAAAGTAATTATTTGTTTTATGTTCAATGGTTACCAAAATACCAAAAAAATTGCAGAGTTTTAGAGAATCAAACCACAATCATTTAGAGATATGCCGCTTAGAAATGGGATTTCTGTAAGAAAAATTATGGGCCTAGAAGCGCAGTTTTTGGTCACTTTTCTGCACAGCCATTTTTCGAAAATTTGAAAAATTAAAATAGACGAAAAATCGACAAAAAAAAATTACAAACCTAGATTTGAACACAGATTTGAACCACAATCATTTTAAGGTAAGCCACTTTGAAATCGAATGACTATAAGAAAAGTTATGGGGCTGGAAGTGCAGTTATTGGTCACTTTTCTGCAAAGCCATTTTTCAAAAAATTTGGATCATTAGAAAGGACGAAAAATCGACAAAAAATTACAAACCTAGATTTGAACACAGATTTTTAGTGAATTGAACCACAATCATTTTAAGGTATGCCACTTTGAAATCGAATGACTATAAGAAAAGTTATGGGGCTGGAAGTGCTGTATTTGGTCACTTTTATGCAAAGCCATTTTTCGAAAATTTGGAAAGGGACGAAAAATCGACCAACAAATACAAACCTAGATTTGAACACAGATTTTTAGAGAATTGAACCACAATCATTTTAAAGTAGGCCACCTTAAAATCGAATGACTATAGAAATTTAAATAGCACCCTCTGCAAGGGAATAAAATATTAATTTTGTCTTAATAGTAAATTAGTCTATGGCTGTGCTATAAATAGTAACTAGTCTGCGAGAAAAAATAGATAACTTTCCAACCACATTTAACCAACTATTGCTGCTGAGTGATTATTTTAACCCACTTTCTGGTGGGTAGGTCAACAGTTTATGGCTTGATCTTGCCTGTGGTTGGATTAAGCAGCAACAACAACAACAGGTGGTGCCCCTCCGCCCACAATTTTGGGGAAACCCACCCATTTTTCTACCTATCCCTCTCTCGCTTCTGCGCTTTAAGTGCGGGATGAGAATTCAGCAAAAGTTGAGAGTTTTCGTAGGTTTTTGAGATTGGATAAAAGCGAAATGTTGTGCTCACTACTTTCGGCTTCTTTGTGGGCTGGAGTGGCCGAAATAAAACTGAGTGGGGACTGCACTTGGCATTTTCTGATTGCCTGGCCCAGCCAATTCGACGTAGTTCTCTGCGGTAACTAAAGCTGGGCTTTTCGTACCGAACCTGAATCGAAGTGGGGAACATAAAAAGCCTTTTATACTGCCAGTTTTGGTGAATATTTAAGGGACGAAATTAGGCAAATGCTCGGCAGAAATTAACTTGACATTTTGCAGAGAAGGTGGGCTAGCTGCTCATATGTGGGGTCTCTGAATTGGGCCTAAACTCGGGACACTTTTGTTGGCACACATCAATCAAAATGCCATTTAGTCCTGGCCATGCCAACAGGCCCCATAGGTCAGGAAATATCACGCAAATCCTGCCGTGGGCACAACACGTGTTGCGTTTTAAAGTTAAGCACCGCACCGTACTCTTTTTAAAGCCCCCTAAGCTTTTGTCGAACAACTATCAACAAGTTTTCTTTTTTGTCTGTTTAATTTTTGTATTTTTTTTATGGGTGGTCGGGAGACTTAAGCCCCAAGCCGAAGTGCGTCACGTGTCGCCAGATTTTCCCTTGAAAATGGGCTAATGAAAACAGCAGCAGCCAAAACAGAAACCAGAATAGGGCTGAACAAAAGGGAAAAAGGGGCGGTAGCCACTTTCAAGACTGGGCGTGGCTGGCAGACATCTATCAACACTTTTAGAACTTTAAATGAGTTTTCGAGCGACTTTGCCTGGTTGGGCCCAAAAAAACACACAGACAAAAACAGAAAAACATACAAACAACAAAAGTCTCTGCACAAAGAAAAAAAAACAGGAAAACTTAAGTTTCCATGAGCAGCGACTTATAATTAAAAGAAAATACTGTTGCCTGTGATAAAATAATATATTTTCATCCAGGTGGCGTAGACATAATTTTATTTAGAAACAAAAAAATGTTTCCTTTACTCATAATTGAACGAGATCAATAAGTCGACAAGGTTGGTAATGGAAAAAAGAGTTGTGCATAATTCCAGCTGGCATACGTTACGTATGAGTAATTAATATTTTGTTTTTCTTAATTTGTATAGGAAAAAAATAGCTACCAATAACAAATAACTTTTTTTTCTGCGTGAAAAGAATAGCTCCAAAACGTAGTTGAACCACAAAATCGATGACAGAAGACCAAAGCTGGTCAAAAGTACTAGAATAGCAAAACGAAAAAAATGGACCACAAGCCAGTGATTCTGGCTCAACAAATGCTAAACAACCCATGAAAAAATCAACAACGAACTGCGAAAAAGCACTGACCAGCAACGAAATATTACGCTATATATACGGCATTTACTTATTTAGAGGAGGGCCATTGCAGTTTAATCTATGCAAATCCACAAGAAATCTCATTTTGAGGATTTAAACTTGATAAAAGTGTGCTGCAGCCAGTCCAGTCCAGTCCGTTTGATGGCAATGTTGGCAACCAACGACAAAAAACCCTCAACAAAAACAGGACAACAAATGGTTGTGATTGTGTGAGTGTGCTGACACACGGATACACACAAACACACCCACAATTATTCTATGGGGTACGACACTCCGTGATTCGTGTGAATTTTCGTACGCAGAGAACTCAATTCTTCGCGAACAGAGCCCCATTTCCTTTATTTTATGCATTATTACGGAATGTTTTATTTTATTTTTATTTTCTCCTTGTTTGTCATTGTTGAGTTTTTTGAGCTTGGCTGTGGCGCCCCAGAGCCACCCACTCAACACCCCAACCTCCTCAACCCTTTACAGAGGTCATTAAAATTTACAATTCGCCAAGGGCAAGAAACTTCACTGCACCAGAATTCGTTGGCCTTATTTCTGATGCACTCAGCTGGCTTTCATCTTCGGGCCACAATTAATTTTAATTTTTGGAAAACATTCGCGTTGAATTGCAGTCAGGTTCGTTCGCTGAAGAAAGTTTAATATTTATGTTACAATAACCAAAAATATGAGCTGTCTTAAGGTGTCTTAAGACAAAATATAATGCATAAACATTCAAGCGTTCAAAATAGCTATTACATTTTTCACATTTTAAAGAGACTGACATCTTTTCTGAAGATACAATATTTCTTCCACTTTAATACCAGAGTTGTATTAGAAGAGTTGCCTTGTGCACTTGCCAACTCAATGATGGAGTCACTGAATCCTTTGAACTTTTTAAGCAGCCCGACACCTTTCAGCCCAGTTGCTACACAATATTTTTGTGTGGATGCTTTGCATATTGGATATTGCATATTGCATTCTCATGACTCCGAAGTCGGGACTTGTGTCATGCAAATTGGCAGCTTAATGCCCTCTTCGGTTCAATGACTCCATGCAGAATCAACTGGGATGTGGATGTGTGTTTAATATGCTGCACATTCAGCTTGCCGGCGGCTTGTAGTTCACAATTTTCAGCTAGACTGCTGCGAGTGGAGAGCAAATATTTTTTTAAGCTAGCAAAAATATTTGCCAATAAACACCACACGCACACAGAGAAGGAAGAAGTGGGAGACCGAAAGGGAGGTGAGTGTTGCAAAGTTTAACCGCAAAGTGTCCATAAAGTTCATGGCCATTGGCTCATCATCGAAGGCACTCAGACAGAAGGATCTAGGATCCGGGCGACGACACAGACGAGGGACAATCAGTCAGTGACAGGACGAACAGCTGCTCCTTGTCCTCCGAAGTTGTCCTTATGGAGATTTAGACAAGTTTGCTCTTTTGGCCACACATAAGTGCGAGGAATTTAGGGAATTTATGTTCGAGCCAAACTCTTGTGTAATTAAATTTTAACTTTGCCTCTTATTGGCCGTTCTGAAACTTATTTGTTTGGCTATTTTTCGGGGTGTTTTCGTTTAATTGTAATTTATTTTGCAGCTGCCTTCTGGCGTTCTTCGTTCGATATCCCATATATTTTTAATTGCTTTATGGCCAAAACCATTTCGATATGCTTACAACTTTAAATGCCCACAAAAATCCAGCCAAATGCAGTTTTGTTTTTCTGTGGTTTTGTTTTGGGGGTTTTATCATTTGGTTTCATTTTACTATTCATTTAATCCTTTATTGCTACAAACTGATGACAAATGCTTATCCCTTGGGGCCGTAAAAAGAAAATGAAAGTAGATGGGAAAATTGTAAACCAATCAACATCACATTGAACACTTCACTTCACACTGATATGGGAATAGGTTTTGTTATGCAACTAAAAGGGATTATTTGGTTTTTAATTTTAAATAAATTGGTTTTGTGTATTGGTTTTATATTTATTGTAGCCAAAAAAACAAAGTATTTCGATTGCAAAAGGCTAAGCTTAATGCTTCAAACTTAATTAACTCTCTGCATAAATTGACCCTAAAAATATAAGTGGAAACAAATAGTGTTTACAAATGGAAGGAATTTGTAAAGAGTTTAGAGTATTTAAGTTTAAGCCTAATGTGAGCTCTTTTTATGAAATTTAAACATTTTTGTTAAAACTTAGAACTTACCTGCAGAACACTCTTGCAGACTCTCGGGACGCTATCCTACTTGCGGAAAATGCCGGAAACACCATCGCAAAGCAATTGCTTTTGGGATTTATTTTAATTGGGTTTTTGAGTTTCACAAAAATAAGCGAAATTTCCGCGCACTTGTTCGCATGCATGCATGAATAAATATTTTATTGCATACGAGCACTTGGGGGTCGTTGGTTCTTCGTACTTTTTGGATTGTGTCAGAAGAAGCTCATAGCGAGAAAGTTTTGTTTTTAGGATTATTATGGTTGGGTCTGTTGAATACTCATATCAGAGAGCACACGTTGTTGACAAACTGGATTGCAGTACAATAAACTAAAGTTCTCTAAGCTATAAAATCCAAATTGTGGAGTTGGTAAAATCCCAAAGTAATCCTCGGTGATGACCCATATTGTTGAACTAACAATTCTTTATTTGCACTGCGAAAGTACATTAAGTTTGAATAAAATTTCTGAAATGGTAAATGTGTTAACTCTGCTGGACTCTGAGATTTTGCCTTTGTGAAGTTTTTCGGCAACTAAAATGCCAAATGCGGGGGTGTTAACCAAAATGCCCCAGAACTTTTGAAGTTGATGCCCTTTTTCTGGCTGACATTTCCTGTTAGCCTTTAATGGAATCGTAAAGCTTCTGGTAACAAAATGTTTGTTTCAGTTTTTGCTTGTGTTATTTTTGCAAAGGGCGGAAAATGGTACGCCCACTGCATGGTTTCGCTATACACAGCAGAAAATAATTTTTAATTATCCAACTTTATGTCGATGGTTATTTTAGATATCATATTTGTTTTTAAAAATATATACTTACACTTAAGCCTGAATAAGTGTTTTTTTAGTAGAATATTTTGCACTTTTCTATGCAGCTATTGGATTTTTTTGGGGTTCTATACAAACACTAATTTTTAAAAACAACATACCTTTATTTAAAGATTATTCAACATGCTTAAAGTTTTTTTGTAATCACCATAAAAAATACATTTTTATTTGTTTAATTCGCAAATTGAACCCAATTCTTTTACTGTTAGTGCAGTCGTCTGTACACCCACACGGCATTCGAAACGCACGGAGCGTACTCCGATTACAACGTCAAGTCGTCGTGGCTGTTTGTTGCTCATACGCAACGTTGTCGCCGGGCGGATTCCTGCATTAATTAGAGCAACGGTTGCGCGGCAGCGGAGCGACAAGCGAGTAGTGAATCGCGTGCCCGGCTGCATGCAAGCGTGTCGAGTTGAGTCGATTCGCCCGACTTGACTCCACGCGGCAATTAAAACGCTGCAATCGAATATTCATTAAAACCCAATTTGCAGTGGAAGCACATCTGGTATTTTGGCATTATGGCAGCTTACGGCGGACCAGGTGGGCACGAACTTGCTTTGACAGCAGCCTTCGCAGAAAGGAATCTAAAATTCGCCCAGCTTGGCCAAAATTGCAAAAAGTGCCGGCGGCAACGCAGAAGTTTCGCAAAAAGCGAGAAAACTTAAGCGGCAAAAATTGTATTCAGAAAAGACGTGCGCTTAATTTGGACAGTTGGAAAGTTTTGGGGGCATCACAAATCTGCTGGCATAATTATTATGAATTATGCAGCAAATAACTTGGCTCTGCTAATGGACTTGGCCCGCGGCCAGACCCGAGACTTCCTGCTTCCCCGGACGAAGGTAGTGCAACTAATTGACAAATGATGATATAGTGTCTCGGACAGTCCTTTTAAAGGGGGACTTCACTCGTCCGTACTTTCCGTCCGCTTTATGGCACAATATTTTCTTAGCATGGCCGAGTCCGGGAATTCCGTTCGTCTTGGCCGCAGTTTTAAGGTCTGATAAAAGCTTTGTTTGTGCTGACGGAAACGGATGTTAACTGCCAGTCGGAATGGCCACTGACATGACGTACGGAGGGTGGGTCCTGGATGTCCTGCAGAGCACGGAGATGTGCGGGGATATTACCGCCTGTTCAGCAGCGGCCTGAATAAATATTTGACCACCTTGTGCCCCCGGCCAGGGTATCAAATGTTCGCAAGCCGACCGGCACTTGGCTGGCTTGATTTATGGAGTGCCAAAATACGTTTACCTTTGCTTCCCTCACTCCCTCGCCATGTTGACTTTAAAGCGTCAAATTAAAAATCCCATTAAATAAAATATTCAACAAGGGTTTGCCCCAAATATCGACCCTTCTGGTCCACTGAATTATGCAGGTCGGCGACGTGGGACTCTCCCCTCTCAAAACATAATTGCGAGTATTTTAATAATCTGCACATCTCCCCCGCCTCCACCAACCACTCGCATATTTCGCAGCTGGAGTGTCACAATTTCGGAATATTTTCATGCCTATCTGCAGTGCCAAAAATAAATGCGGTCCCGTCACCTGCTAAGTGTCCTATAAAATATTTCCGCCGCTGACACCGGGACATATCTGAAATTTGTGGCGTGATTTATCAAGCTTTTATTTGGTTTTATGTTCGCATAGAAACATTGTTGAAAATTAAGCCGGACACTTTAAAAAATATACGAGACGTACTATTTGATAGAGCCATTTTAAAATTTTTGTGAAAATCAACACACTTTTAGCAGACAATATCGAGGCGATAGGGAATGCAGGGGTTGCATCCTTTGCCCCGCCTTGGAAGCTGAGAATAATTTAGAGGTGGACCAGCGAACAGGAATTTGCGCTTCCTTTGGAAGTCATTCAAACCATCATCCCCGGCCTCTTGTCCTTGCCCTCTTGGGGATTCCACGGGCGGACCAGTGTGCCCTTCTTCTGCAGATACTTGATCATGTTGATGCCCTTCTTCTTTGCCTCCACCGCGTCCTTCTCCGCCTGTTTGGCCGCCTTGGCTGCATCCTCGGCGGGTTTGAGAAATCGCTTGGGGAAGCGCACTGATATCGGTCCGGCTTTGACACCCTTTGGCTTTCCAGCGCCGGCGGCGGGGAATCCTTTCCAGGGTCCTCCAGGACCTCCGGGGCCCCCAGGTCCTCCAGGACCCCCCCAGGGGACGCCTCCTTCTTCCTCGCACTCGGGGTCTGCCGCAAGGCATCGGATTGGGTCCGTGCGGTCCGCCGCCCATCAGTCCGAAAACCCCATCCTCGAAGACCACTTCACCCGGCCAACCAAAGGCCGTACCCATATTGCGATCTCCCACGACGCAGTCAACTCTTCTAAAGTAAGGTGTCACCGTGAAGTATCCCAATACTTCGGAGGAAGTGGCGAAAAATAAATGCGGTCCCGTCACCTGCTAAGTGTCCTATAAAATATTTCCGCGGCTGACACCGGGCCATATCTGAAATTTGTGACGTGATTTATCAAGCTTTTATTTGGTCTTATGTTCGTATAGAAACATTGTTGAAAATTGAGCCGGCCACTTTAAACTTTTTGACGGGGATTTTAGAGAGTGGCAAATTGTAAAACTGTGTGTAGAAAAGATATGGTTCCGTTTATGTCATTTTTTGTTTCAAATAAAGTTTTCTTAAACGTCAGATTTTTAAATTGAAGGACATCGCAAAAGTTACTAAATATGTAAACGTTTAAATACAGAAATATTTCCCTTTGCTGTTGATACTAAAACCTCCTTTTTACGTTTCCCTTGTGCATTCTTCTTTCCCATTAACAAAGGTAAGATATCTATTTCTTTGCCTTATTTACGCGCAAAAATATTTCAGGCTGAAAATTAACTTTTTCTCATTTTTGCTTTGCCCACTTAATTGGCCTAATTTCTATGTATAATTAAAAATTTCGTGTACTTCTTGTGTAAATTTGAAACCCCTTGCGAAAGGACTAATAAATTGGCGCAATTTGAGTCCCTTGGGTCAGTGGATGAATACTCCTGCTAAGAGATTTGCACAGGCAGAATATAACAATGCTGTAAGTGATAGTAGCAATACACTGAAATTAATACATATAATAGATAAATGTAAAATATTGTATAAGTTAAAATAATTAAAAAAGTTTTCCGAATTGTGTTGCATTCTCACTTATTCATTTTAACTGAAGGTGATGTGATTTATGACATTCGATGTCTAAGATGATTTGACATGGCTACTTATTAACTCAATGCATAAGCTCGAATGTTTCATCTGGTGTATGGTTATGATGCGTTCGCTGCTAATCAGCTTATGTATTTAGCATATATTAGCATTTCCCATTAATGTACTATTATTCCGTGTGCGTGTGTGGGTCTCTGCAGATATCTGAATTGCCATGGAGAACCCTTCCCCTAGATTCCCGGGGCCCCTGTGCGTGCTTGCCATTTAATTAACTGCACAGACAACATTTTCAATCTCTGCTCCACTCGACTCCATTTCGCAACCCGATTTCGATGTCATTGCGAGTGAGAACGGCAGTCCGAAATGCTGTTATAATAACGCAAACAAGCTGTTGGGCTTACAAAATCTAATCCCCTTGTCTGTCTGTATGTCGGCGGCACTAAAAACTAATTGAAATTGCCATATTTCATGTATAATATACGAGAGAGCAAGGCTTTATGGAATCTTCTGCCATAACATAAAATTTGATAATGCCATTTGGATTTTCACAGCATTAGCAGGCGAAGGCTGTCTCCTGCTTGTGGATATGGAATGGAACATTTTTTAAGGGCAGCGTTATAAAGACAACGATCTGAGGACGGCACTTAAAAAGTATCCCGAAAAAAACACCTGGGAAAATGCATATTTTTACCGATTATCCTGATAATCAATTGCCACTTAAAAGTTTTGATTTTAGTCATAATAATGCAAACAATGTACCAAAAATGCGATGTCATTTCACCATAGGATTTGCTGAAACGAATGTAAAAAGTAAATTGTTAAGCTGCTAAGATAAGAAAAATTATTTAAATGCTAAAAGTCTACTTATCTATTTGCATTTCTTAGGATCAATATATAGCCCTAGATAGTAAAGCTACTTATCCGTTGAAATCAATGCAATCACCAAAGTAAAAATACAATTTATAGGTATATGATAAAATATACGAGACGTTATATTTGAAAGAGCAATTTTAAAAATTTCGTGAAAATTAACACGCTTTTAGCAGACAATATCGAGGCGATAGGGAATGCAGGGGTTGTATCCTTTGCCCCGCCTTGGAAGCTGAGAATAATTTGGAGGTGGACCATCGAGGAGGAATTTGCGCTTCCTTTGGAAGTCATTCAAACCATCATCCCCGGCCACTTTAGCCGGCTTGGGTCTGGGCCTCTTGTCCTTGCCCTCTTGGGGATTCCACGGGCGGACCAGTGTGCCCTTCTTCTGCAGATACTTGATCATGTTGATGCCCTTCTTCTTTGCCTCCACCGCGTCCTTCTCCGCCTGTTTGGCCGCCTTGGCTGCATCCTCGGCGGGTTTGAGAAATCGCTTTGGGAAGCGCACTGGTATCGGTTCGGCTTTGGCACCCTTTGGTTTTCCAGCGCCGGCGGCGGCGGCTGGGAATCCTTTCCAGGCTCCGCCCATGCCACCGGGGCCTCCAGGTCCTCCAGGACCCCCGGGACCACCCATTCTTCGTCCTCTTCCGCCACCAAAGACTCCTCCACCTCCGCCTGCGCCGCCACCGAAACCTCCTGCACCACCTCCTCCACCAACACCTCCACCACCCCAAGCTCCTGGCACCCGGGGTCTTCCGCAGGGCATCGGATTGGGTCCGTGCGGTCCGCCTCCCATCAGTCCGAAAACCCCATCCTCGAAGACCAATTCACCCGGCCAACCAAAGGCCGTGCCCATATAGCGATCTCCCACGGCGCAGTCGAATCCTCTGTAGTAAGGTGGCACCGCGATGGGATACTTCGGAGGAAGAGGCATCTGGTCCTTCTTGGAGGTCTGGGTGCCATGGTTCACCGTTTCCGGCGGCGGAGGCTGATACGGTTGCTCCGTTCCCGCGGGTGGAGTGACATCAAAGTCGAACTCCATGTCGCTTTCGCTGGTGTCAGTGAGCACCAGATGGTCGCCAGCTGGAGGAATGCCATGACGTCGGCACTCCTTGTTAAGGGCCCTTTGCAGATGGACCTTTTCGACGGGATTCCGGCACTGGCACATCATCAGTGTCTGGTGGCAGGAGCACTTGTGGAAGCCCTTGTCTTTCAGCTTCCTCTTGATCTCGCGCAGAGCCACCGCGAGTTCGCTCTTCACAATCCTGAAGGTGATGGGCTTCTGGCGAACTCCCAAAGGCGTTAAAGGTCGCAGGGTGATGAAGATCTCGCCATTCTTCTTGCTAATGTTCAGAACCGGCGAGGCCAATTCCTTTTCCCGCTCCAAGGTCTCCGTGTCCTTGCACTTGGCGAAGGCCGTCTCCTGGGCAGGTCGGTCCAGGAAGAACTTCATGAGGTGCTTGATGGGCTTGCGAATGGCGCCCGGTCGCCAGCCCAACTTCTTGGCCTCCCAGCTTTTGCTCCAGGCCCAACCATGTCGCCGGGACACGAATCCCGACTGGAGGACGCACTGCTTGTGTCTGCTGGAGATGTGTCCCTTGTTGTTGGGCGGTACGTAGGGTGCCTTGCGTGGTGCCTGATTAACCTCGATCTTCTTGGGCTCTGGCTTTCCGGGTTTATCCGTCTTGGGCACCGCCCGATCACAGTTCTCGTCCAGCTCGGACATCTTCTTGGTGTCCTTGATGTCGTAGAGATCGCGCAGCTCCGAGAAGACTTTGGCCAGGTAAGGTCGGCAGTCGTCGGAGCTCTTGTTCACCACGCAGTAGTCCTCCGAATCCTTGGGCTCCACCTTCGGGCACTTGGGCCCCATCTGATCGCTCTTGAATATGTCGGCGCACAATTTTCGGATGCGACAGTGGGCACACATCTTGCCGAACTTGCAGGTGCAGCGACATGGTGGACACTCCTCATCCTCGGCTGCCTTATCCTTCTCTCTGTTGGCCTTGTCACAGGGATCGACGCAGTAGTCGTCCAAGGTGGCCGGCCCCTTGCCCAAATACTCGAGCAGGATCTCATCCGCCGACAGCTTCTTCTCCTTGTGGCGATCCTCCACCACGGGCATTGGTTTGATCCCACACTTGGGGCACGCCGCGAACTTCGGCATCCAGGACATGTTGGTCAGACAGACCGGACAGAAGCGGATGGGCTTGATGTCCGGCTTCTGGCCGTCGCAGTCGGCAATGGGCACCGGATTGAGGTTCTTGTCGCAAAGTCCGGCTCCTGATCTTGGGTGGCCGGCAGGTAGACGAAGCACGGCTTGTCCGGCTTCTCCGGCAGTTCTAGAAACTCAGGTGGTTCAGGACGGCACCAGCAGGGATTCATCCCGAAGCTGTTCACCTCGTCAGGATCACGACAAGGAGGCTTGGGCGGAGGCATTCCCGTCCGCCGGGTTATCGTATCGATCATCTGCTCGTACTCGATGGCCATTTTCTGGAAGGGAATGGGAAATATGTGATAGAAATTTAACATAAGTACTAATTAGAAATGCCCTGAAGACCCACCTTTAGTTCACAGCAAGCTGCGAATGCCGGATCCATTGTCCGTCATCATGTTGTAGGGCTTAATGCCGCCGCCCTGACTGCGATATCGATCTAGGTCCAGCTTGAGGCGCTCGTCGCCCTCCTCCTCCTCCAAATCATTCTGACAGGGTTCGCAAGCACTGGGACACACCTGCGACTCGCCCATCACAAACATGATGTCCTGTGGATTAATGCTCCTGTCCATATTGCGACTGCATACGGTTTCGGGTTCGCTAAAGTACGGAGTTTAAAATAGGTTTAAACAGGGATGAGTAAGGGAGATTTTAAATTAATTAAGCTACTTAACTTATCTTTTAAATTTTTTATCAATATAGAATAAATATGAGATTTTTTAACCTAAACTCCCAACACTTACTCAGCAATACACATGATGACCAGTCGGCAGAGAAACTCCAGTTTGCCGGTCACTTCGCCACTGGAAGCCAGGTTGATGACGTCCGAGTGCAGGATATCGGTCATGTCCTTCTCGATTGTATCGACTACGCTGGGCGGAAAGGAGGCCTGGCCAGAGCCAATCACCTTTTTGCTGTACGTCACCGTGAAGGATATGCCGCACTCGTTCACATTCTTGCGGATCTCCTTCGGTTCCTTTTGGAAGGTAAGACCGGCGCCAGCCTTGAATTCCGTGACATTTATCTGACTGGGCGTGAGTGGAAATTGAGTCTTGAAAAAGTTGGCAGTGATTTCCAGTTTGGCGGGATTGGTGAACTCTGTATTTTTGGCCTGCACATTGGTGACGATAACGTCGAATACGAAGATGGGAAGGGGTTCCTTCTTGGGCGGGGCTTTTGTCTCCTTTTTGGCTTCCGGTGGAGGTTCGGCAATTGCAACCGCTACCGACTTCTTCTTAGGTCCCATCTCGAAAGCTTAAACTTATCCTAAGACTTGCAATCTGTAATTTTTTACTGCCTGTCTGGACTTTTGCTTATTGCGGAAGCACTCGATTTCCGATTATATATAATTTTTTTACTTTAGATTTTTTAGAAGACTTTTTTATGGACTTACTACACTAAACTTTACAATAAAACTGAGTTGGACAGGCAATACAGTGTCTGAATATAAAAACAAACCCAACTCTGACCAGGCTCAAAATTAAATATGGTCAACAAACAGTTGTGACAGTAGTCCATGGCATGTTTCGTTCGGTCTTTGGTATCAGGTTTTTAATCGAATTACTAATGACCATTTCCAGTTAGCTGATTGGCTTACTTAAAACCCCAATTCTACGGCGAGCCCCCTAAAATGTAAAACTTGTTTTTGAGGGTTCTTGCTTTAGGCTACCAAAAATAAAATCACAATACGAATTCGAAAAACGAAGTTTTTATTGATGCTGGGTAAGAGGTGTCAGCCAAACACTTCTTCAGGGTCCTTAAAGGATTTACCCTAATGACCATGGCCATGACCAGAGTTGTGGCTCACGGGACCAGAATGTCCCACTGGCCTACCATGATTAACAGGAGCAGAATGTCCGACGGGTCCACCGTGACTCACAGGGGCGTGGCCGTGTCCTGAAGGTCCTCCACGACCAATTTGACCGGGAGTTGCCTGGACGGCAGCCAGGACGAGCAGAAGAAAGGCGCAGACAGCTAAGAACTTCATTGTTTCAGTTTTTGATACACTTTAAGGGGCGGCAAGATCTTTTATACCATTATTTCCAGCGGATTGCTGGTACCTGTTTTACAATTTTGTATTACTTTTTTGGTTTCACAATTGTTAATTTATACCCAATAAATTTTAAGATGTAGGTGGTTTGTTACTTATGAGTTGGAAACAATTGTGGCTTTTAAATACCGGTCGCTCGTTATATTTTGCATTTCGTTGAGCAAACAACTTTCCTGTTTCGTATTATTATTTATATATAATAATAAACATTCGATTAAACAAATATACTTTTTGGATATCACTAATTGTTAATATATGCAAAGCGTTAAATAATATCAAAGCCTATTTTTGCGCATTTATTTATAATTTAACAAGTTAAGATTCATATAAATTATCAGCAAATTAAGTTCATATAAAAAATAGTTATAAGATATTAATTTGCTGATGAAAGCGGCGATTGTAAAGCGTGCCCCCTTAAAAAATGAACTTAGTTCTGCAGGCCTTTCTTTAAAGAAAAAAACAAATCAAAATACAATAAAAAACAACGGTTTGATTAAAGTTTCAGTTTTGTATTCGTCATGTTACATGAGTTGGCTTGAAGGAGTCCGGTGGTCAATAAATGCTGTCCTAGTGGCCCTTGCCGTGATCGGAATGACCTCCATGATGAGCATCCTCGCCGTGACCCGCAGGACCATGGCCAACAGGACCTCCATGGGACGCAGGGCCACCGTGGCCGGCAGAACCGTGTCCTTGAGGTTGGCTTATTCCTGCAGATCCACCATGTCCACCGTTATGATCGGGAGTTGCCTGGACAGCAACCAGGGCGAGCAGCAGAAAGGCACACAGAGCAAAGAATTTCATCGTGAAAATTTGGATACAATCTGAGAGGCCACAAGTTCTTTTATACCAGCAACACCATAGGTTCGCAGATACCTGTTTTTTTAAGTAAACTGTTAATTTATAGTTTAGTTTATTGATTAGCACTTATTAACAGATGTGCTCATTAAATACCGGTCTCTCCTCCTATTTTGCATATGGGTCATTAGTTTACAAACAAAAATGTTTATCAATTCAAAAATTTGAATTCTTAAAGCAGCTTTTATTGCGTTTTCCAAATATTTATGAGTGTTTAAAAGAAAAATGTTTATATTTAATATGTTGATATAAAGACTTAAGAAAATTATTAAACTTTCTTGTTTATCATGTGTTCAAACAAAACGTCGGTACGAGATTCTTTTGATGGAGAAGGAAACGTTTGCCGTCTCCGCCTTATAACTACTCTATGGCAATAGGCTCTCTCTTTTTCTACTGCTTAAAAAATGTATTACAAATCTCATTATTTAAGATATACAATCAAATGTATAGGTCCAGTTTTTTCGAAGTGTAGCTGACAGCCAACACATCTGTCCATGCTTAAAACCGGTACCTCATGATGCAAATTATCATCTTTTAATTCAAACAACAATATTATTGTTTATTGAAAGCATGTAAATAACTGACGAGCCCCAAATTGGTCCACGAAATGCGTGTCAGCGTCTTAAATTGGGAAAAAAATTATTAATCTTTTCGTTAACACTGTTATGTTAAAAATATTTGTAAAGTACCTAATTTTTTCGCACTTTTTAGAGTAACAATTATAGATTCAACACAATTTAAAGTGATATTCTATAGTATTGTATATAAAATTTTAAAAGTTTACAAGAATAGCTCGAGACATTTGACAAGCTTTCTAATGATAATTTGTTTTCTCAAATATTCTTGTTTTTTAAGTTATTTATAATTTATTCAATATTAGGACCTGAATTCAAACTAAATTTATATCTTATTTCCTTATACTTTTTTATGTGAATTTTAGAAAACATTGAAAAATACCCTTTCAGTTAAATAACCTAATAATTATTCTACCCAACTACTCAAGTTAAATTTATATTTTAAATGACTTATAATTTAGATGTTTTAACTTGTTTGATTAAATTTATTTAAACTTTTTACCCACTTTTGATATTATTTGAATTATGCAGATTTGTATTTTATCAACCATATTGTTGTTTATTAAAAAGCAGGTTGTTTGAAAATGTAATTTCCCTACAGCAGTTATTGGAACACATACACATTTGTGTGATTGCAAAAAACACGAAGCTTGCACTGCCCAGAAAACTTTTCACAAGCAATGAATGAACATAAAACAATTTAATTTAATTTTAGTTTAATTTTGAAGCTAAATTGTCCACATCAGGAATAATCTAAACTATAATAAACTTTTTCCCAAGCGGTACTCCTTTTTTCTATTTTAGCTAAAATTATGGTTAAAATAATGGCGCTTTATATTAAATAATTTATAATTTTTTATAACAAAATTGCATTTTAAACATTCCTCATCCCCATCCATCTAAGCAGCGTGGTCTTTCTTGCTTGAGATTTGAACAGAAACTAATTGCCTTAATTTTCGTAAAGGGGACTAAAACCGTTGCTGCTCATTAGATTGATCGCAGCATACTTTCAGGATTAATTCTATTATTGCTATAAGTAATAACATAGCTATGCTTCAGGAAAAGGTTAAAAAAAATATTTGTTATTAAAAGGAAGCCCGCTGTAACCTATGTCAAAGAAAGAACAAAATATAGCTTTTAACATTTAATAAAAAACATAATTAGTGTTTAGATGTGGCTCTCATTTTGCGTATTATCTTCCGCGGTAGTCCCTTCCACACAGTTTTTGTGAATCGATATGGATCAATAGCGGCAGGGGCGGTTCCAATGTGTAGTGGAGCCCCGGCGTTCTTGCCCCACACCTTCGGATCTCGCCACACAGGGGCTTCCCCATGCTGACCTCCGCCCCTGTACCCGTATATTCCGTCCTCGAAAACGGTCTCCAAATTGCTACCAAAGCCTGTGCCCATGTAGCGATCTCCGGCGGCACAATCGTAGGCCCTCCAGTAGGGACTATTGGCCACCGGATACATGGGCGCTATGGTCGGTGGTGCCTTCCTCACTGTCTGCGTGGCATGGTTCACCAAGTTTAGGAGGGCATTCCTCTTTTCGGCCACCGAGTTCCCGCCGGCGGAGTCACTTCCAGATCGAACTCCATGTCGCTCACACTCGTATCGGTGAGCACCAAGTGCTCCGGACAGGGTTCCATGAGACGTCGCTGGCACTCCTTTTTAAGAGCTTTATTCAAGAGAAACTTATCCAAGGCATCGCGACAGGTGCACAGCATCAGGGACTTGTGGCAGGTGCACTTCTCGAAGCCCTGATCCTTCAGAGCGCGCTTGATCTGAGGCAATGCCATCGCCAACTCGCTCTTCACGATCCGAAAAGTGATGGGCTTCTGTTGCATGCCCAAGGTGGCCAGTGGTCGGAGGGTGACGAATATGACGCCATCCTTCTTGCAAATATTCAGTACTGGCAGACCGCTTCGCACCTGCTCCTCATGGTCGGCGGAGATCTTTTGACACAACTTTCGGTCCTCCTTGGGCATCAGGAAGAAGCGCATCACCTGACTGGCTGCTCGCAGGATGGCTCCTGGCCGCCAGCCATTCTTCCGCGCTTCGCAACTCGTTGTCCAGTTCCAACCGTGCCGGCGGGACACAATACTCGTGGCAGGCAGACAGCTCTTGTGGCCAGCTTTCGGCTGGTGGCTCACCCCGCCAAGGACCTTCTCTGGCTGGTACAGGGAGTCGGTCAGCTCCTTGATGGACCGCCTGCTACGCAGAGTGAACAGTGACTTGGCCTCGCAGCGCTCCTTGATGGCCGACAGCTTCTTGGAATCGTGCAGCTGGTAGAGATCCTTCATCTCGGAGAAGACCTTCGACAGGTAAGGAAGATCGTCCTCCTCGGGATCCACAATCAAGCAGAAGTCCTCACTCGAACGGGGCTCTGGTATCTGGCGAACTGGTTCCGGTGGATTATCGTTCTTATAAATGTCCTCGCACAACTTGCGGATTCGACAGTGGGCGCACATCTTGTCCGGTTTGCAGGTGCATCGGCACGGTGGGCACTCGTTGCTCTTCCTGCGAATCCTTTCGCACGGCTGCTCACAAAAGTCCTCGACACCTGGCGGTGCTACGGGTTTTACCAGCTGCTCGGCCATAATGTCATCCGCCGTAATGATTTTATGGGGATGTCCTTGCAGGAAAGGCACTGCTTTCGTGTTGCATTGAGGGCAGGTTGAATATTTCGGCAGCCAGGACATCGAGTACAAGCAAACAGGACAAAAGCGTATAGGTTTAACGCCATGAACTTCGTTGAATCTAACAGGGACTGGGATACTGCGTTCCATGGGAACAGGGGCTGGAGTCCTTGGGGTCGGGATACTGGCGTCGGTAGGTGGCTCTGTGGGAACCACCGAACTCGTGGGCAAATCCATTTGCTTAACCTTCTCGGCCACCGAGTCAATGATTTTCGAGTACTCCTGGGTGAGTTTCTTTAGATGACTGAAGGAGGGCTTTTCCTTGGGGCAGGGATCGTCATCCGGGAAGCTCACCCTTCGATTCTTTAGGCTCTTATAGCGCTGCAAGTCCAAGTCCAATCGTTCGTCGCCCTCCTCCGGGCGAAGTTCAGAACAAGGTTCCGAGGGAATCTGCAGCAAAGGATCAGGATCGCCAAAGAGAAACATCACATCCTGGGGATTGATGGTGGGTCCCTGGCTGGCACAAGTGACGCGGCTGCTCTTATCCTGCCTTGGAATTACTACGGACAATTTACTGGTACGGGAAACGCTTTCTTTTAGCGGCTGAGGCATCGGATTATCATCGCACTTCAGTGTCAGCCGCAGAATAAAGGACACGTTGCCCACGACGTCAGCTCGGCGCACCAGATCAATCGTTTCTCCATGCAGCAGGTCGTTCATGGTGGGACTGATCTTGTCGAGAAACTCCAAGGAAAAGTTTAAGTATCCGGTGCCCAGGGTTGAACCCTGATACGTGACCGCCAATGACATTCCCTTCTCCTCCAGATTCCGACGCACCGTTAGCGGGTCCTCCTCGAACTCCAACTCCCTATTGGCCGCGAACTGGCTGACATTGATCCGACTTGCGGTTATTTTCTTTGTCAGTCCAACAAACTTTGCATTCACCACGAGATTCTCGGGCTGCGCCAACTCCACGCCGAAAACATCTACATGGGTGATGACTATGTCAAAGAGAAAGTTTACTTTTTCGTTCATTTTGCGATTGTTATGCTAAGGTATTTCAGAATTTCACCACTCTAGTCGAGTAATCTCTTGGGAACTAAGATCTAAACAATATTGGTAACTAAAATAACAGTGCAAAATTGGGAACGAAAAGTGTGTGACTGTGTGTTATGTAAACAGGAAATGTAATTATGAACGAAGTATTATAACTGGCATTTACCTCAACGCCGCTTAAAATTAGTTTTACTGGCAACTAGTTTTTTTTCACTAGTTTCTAACTTTTCTTTAGAAGCAAAAATAGATGTCCAATATTTTTCATTGCAAATATTGAACTATATCATCCATTTATTTAATATCTAACAATTTCAATGAGTGGTTTTGATCCGAGGTAATAGTGCATATAGTGTTTCTGAAAAACAATACATTTGTTGTGTATACGAAGTTATAGGCGTAGGGCTGCCTTTCTTTCTGATCTATAAAATAAAAAGAGACCTATAGCTGACATAAAAAATATTTATTCTTAGAAGTATTATTGTTTGCGATTAGTGCGCATTTGGTGAATAATATTTTTGGGAAGTCCCTTCCAAACAGTTCTGGTGAACCGATAAGGATCGTAGGTAGAGGGAGCGGTTCCGATGGGCATGGGTGCGCCCGTTCGCTTGCCCCAAACCCTCGGATCTCGCCAAACGGGAGCTCTTCCATGCTGACCTCCGCCCATGTAGCCGTATATCCCGTCCTCGAAAGCTGTCTCCAAATTGCTGCCGAAGGCTGTGCCCATGTAGCGATCTCCGACAGCGCAGTCGTAGGCCCTCCAGTAGGGACTATCTGGCACTGGATACCTGGGGGGAATCATTTGCTCTGCTTTTGGCCCCGTCTGAGTGCTCTGGTTAAGCACGTTTCGGATGGCTTTCTGCTTGGGCCACCGATTTGCAGCCGGCGGAGTCACACCCAGGTCAAATTCCAAATCGCTCACACTCGTATCGGTGAGCACCAAGTGCTCCGGACACGGTTCCATGAGGCGTCGCTGGCACTCCTTTCTAAGAGCCTTGTTCAGGAGAAACTTATCGAAGGCATCGCGGCAGGTGCACAGCATCAGGGACTTGTGGCAGGTGCACTTCTCGAAGCCCTGATCCTTCAGAGCACGCTTTATCTGCCGCAGTGCCACCGCCAAGTCGCTTTTGACGATCCGGAAAGTGATGGGCTTCTGTTTCATATTCAGAGAGTCGAGGGCATAAAGAGTTACAAATATCACGTCGTCCTTCTTGCAAATATTCAGAGCTGGAAGACTGCTTCGCTCCTTATTCTCTTGGGCAGCAGTAATCTTTTGGCACAAGTTGCGATCCTTCTTGGGCATCAGGAAGAAGCGCATCACCTGAACAGCTGCGCGCAGGATGGAACCAGGCCTCCAGCCGTGCTTCTTGGCCTCCAAAGATCTGGGCCAATCCCAACCGTGGCGACGAGGAACCAAATGCTCCACTGGCAGACAGTTTCTGTGACCCGCCGTCTGGCGTTCGAAACTTTCGGGAATGTGCGGATTAAAGCCAGCCCGGGTAGGATTATATGATGTCACGGATCTTGGTTCGCGGATTGGGAGCAGTGTCTGGGATTCACATCGTTTCTGGAGCTTCTTGGCGTCATGCATGTTATACAAACTCTTAAGTTCGCTGAAAACCCTCGAAAGATAAGGACGATCGTCGATGGGCTCTGTTATGACGCAAAAGTCCTCGTCAAAAGTCGGCTGCGGAACTTCTGCTGATTTCTGCATCGTTGTCTCCTTTTTGCTCTTACCCTCGAAAATGTCCTCGCATAATTTGCCAATGCGACAATGGGCGCAAATTTTTCCCACTGTGCAAGTGCAACGGCACGGAGGACATTCCTCATCCGTGTCTGAATCGGGAACCGGATCTCCCAGTCCAGTTTTCTTCTTTTTCTTGATTTTCTTTATATGTAGGATTGCTCCCTGGCAAGGTTTCTCGGAAAACTCTTCAGATTCAGTGAGTTGTTTTGGTTTCACTAGCTGTTCGGCTACGATTTCATCGGCTGTTAACACCTTCTCACGATGTCCTTCCAGAACAGGACGTGCTTTAGTGTTGCATCTTGGGCATGGTGTATATTTCGGCATCCAGGACATGGAATACAAGCAAACAGGGCAAAAACGTATGGGTTTCACACCAGTTTCACCATCATCTTTTAGCGAAACAGGTATATATCGTTCTTCTGGGATTTCCTTGTGAATATTTGGAGTTTGAGCGTTCTTTTCCGAAGCTGGCTCTGTATTGACCCCCGAACTTGGAGGCATTCCCATCCGCTTTACTTTATCTGCTACCAAGCCGATTATCTTCGAGTAGTCATCTGTGAGATTTTTAAGCTGGGTAAAAGAGGGCTTGTCCTTGGGACAGGGATCGTCATCCGGGAAGATCACTCGACGATTCTGCCGACTCTTATAGCGCTGCAAGTCCAATTCCAGTCGCTCATCGCCTTCCTCTGGAAAAAGCTCGAAGCACGGCTCCGAAGGAATCTTCAACAGTGGATCGGGATCGCCAATGACAAACAGCACATCTTGGGGTTTGAATGTCGGCCCCAAGCCCTGGCATCCCACTTTTTCCTCCACTTTTTTGGGACTGATCAGGGCAGACGATTTCCTTGAAGACCGTCGCGAACTCGACCTGCGCGGTTGCTGAACGATTTCATTTTCCGTGCACTTGACGGTCAGGGATATAAGTATGCTTATTGAGCCGACGCAGTCAGTTCTACGCATCAGAAGGAGTGTGTCCTCGTAAAAAAGATCACTCATGGTGGGAGATATTTGGTCAATAACGGTGTCAGGAAAAATCAAGGCACTGTTGCCCAAGGATGAGCCTTCGTAACGGGCGGCCATCTGCATTCCTTGGTCCCCCAGGGTTTTTCGCAAAACGGAGGGAGTGCTGATGAACTCGGTTTTTCTATTGTTCACAAAGTCGCTGACATTCACCCTGCTACCTGTTACTTTAATATTTTGACCTGCAAACTTGACTTGCACTTCGCATTTCTCCGGTTCTTTCACAGGTTTGTACAGCTCTAGTCTTGTGACCACCATATCGAATAGGAATACTATGTCTCCATCTTGTCCAGTCTCCATTCTGAAGTTCAAAATATCATTCTTCTATACACCACTGAGTTCCTTATAAAAAATATCTAATTTTAGGTTACTAATGTATGTATAATGAAAAAGTGTAAATTGTGTGTGAATTGTTTTAATGATAAAATCGCACTGGTCGTGTTACATTTGTAAGACCAAGTTGTCTGTATGACATTAAAAACATGGTTATATTCTCTTAAAGAGTTTTTTTTTTGATTACAAAAATGTATCTGAAATTATAGAGGTTTGGAAAAGGGAAAGTCTCAGTTAAAAACTTGATAACTCATTAACGTGCATTTATTTCTCAGCTTATTGATTGATATAAAGGATACACTAATAGTATGTTGCTTAAGTTTAATCTATTTATCTATTCAGTTTGCAACATATGTAATCTAAGAGCCTATTACAAAACTTACCAGCTAATCTGGAGGGTATTAAATGAAACCAACCAAATCGTTAGTGCTGAAAGACCATTGGGAACAGCTGTTCGCGAAATTTGCCCAACTGTGAACTCCAGTGACCTACAGTCTGACTAGCGGGCCTCGAAGGATTTGGAACATGTCTGCGAGCGGCGAAAGGGAGCCAAATGGATTTCTAATTACCCCGGCCACTCCCCAGTCACATTTTCGCCTGTTGCTGCACAGAGGCCAATACCCCAGGTGCCCTGCCCCCGTGGAAAATCCCGCACTTATTTATCGCTACACCTTCCGTAAGCAGCTTAGCACGCGATTCCTGGGAAATCTCACACGCCCCCAGAGGTGGTCTGCCATTTATCAAATCAGCTCACATGCTTATCTAAATTAAGTTCAATTTTAATTAAATTTCGCGCATTAGGTTGACGCATATCGGTTATCCGTGCTGCGCAGTCACCACCACACCCATAAAAACTAGTTTAAAAGCGAATTTGTGCCAAACATTGGGGAATTAGTCGAAAAATGCTGAACCGAATAATGGAAATGTTTTAGCGAGAAGACCGCCTGACTAACTAAGCCGATTTAATTGGATACAAATTGGTGCAGCCAAATGTTCAGTGGGTTGACTGGGCATAGTCGAAGTGAGGGGGTGGGGTTTCTGTCCACGCCAGTAGCCAAACAATAACAAATTGGGTCCCCTGGTCCGTCGAAATTCGGTGCTCTTTTTCGGCCTTGCTGACTGAGTTTCTGCTGGCCAAGTGGAAGCCACTCGTGCATAAATTATACAACACCAGTGAATATCCCAAATTGCTCTAACCAGGAAACAATTTCATAGTTGGGGATTTAAACTTAAGGGAAATTAGGGAAGATTATTTATTTTTAATGTGAATAAATAATACATGAACTTTTTTAAAATGCGCGTAGTATAAACTCAAAATAATAACCTAAATTTTTAAACCAAAACGGTTTTAGTGGTTTAAATGAAAAACAATAATGGGCTTAAGAAGTAACTATATTTTTCAGAGTTCCATTCCTTTACGAACTAGAACCTATTCAAATTAATATGGTTATATATACAAAATTAACATTTGATAACAGCAGGAGTTAAATCAAGAAAATAATAACGTAAGTACTTAAAATATATCTTCAATATCCAAACATACACAGCAAAGTTTAAGGCCATTGGAAAGTCTCTAATCCTGGTATTTCGCCCTTCATGAGAGTGTTTAGTTAGGTAATGTCCGTTTGATGGCTACACAATTTGGTCAGAGTTTGCACAAATATTTTCGCCCACAAAACGTGCGAACATTGGGCTGAGAGGACTAGGCAACATTTTCGTGTGGCTAAATTGGTTCTTCTGGTCGAAACGTGGCATTAATGACTTGTTAATTAGTTGGCCATTTTGTCGAGTAAAGCAATTGCAAAACAATTTCAACAGCAATTGTCATTCGTTGGGTCCTGTCGGAATGCCTGAATTCCTTCGATTGTATAATTTATGTGCTGAATTGGTTTTGATGGACGACCCAAATAACTGAAGCTGACTCATTTGGCCACATTTATTTGCATATTTGTGCTGTGGGGTTCTTCCTGTTGCATTTTAATTGCTTTGCCAAATTAATGTCTGGCCTCAAAATAAATGCAGAGCACTTTGCAAGCCTGAAAAAGCCACCAATTAAAACGTCCGAATGTGAATATGTTGACCATTACGGTCAACATCTGACTGGGTAAAATGGCACATAAGTAGAGCTTAATAAATCCTTTCGGATAAACCATAAAACAAAAGATGTTTTTCATCAGCAGCAGCAGAGCTGGGAAAACTAATTCCGATTCTCTGCTGGCATCCGCATTCCCACAAGTAATTGGTTAGAGAAAATGTTCTTGGTTTTTGGCTCTTGTTTTGCTTGAACGAGCACTCTTGGTTTTCGCACGTTACGTATACGCCACAAGTACGAGGCACCTAATACCCTCCCCAATTGTGGCTGCATGCAACCCACTGACACTTGCCAGGAGCATTGCTGATGCGGCTGCCACTGTTCCTGCTGGCAGACAAATGAGCGCTCCCATTAAACGCTCCTGAAATATGCTGGCGAATCATTCAAAGCCGGAGAAGCAGCATCCAAGAAAGTGGGAAGTTGGCCTGGCCAATAAATCTGAAAATTCCGCACCCGGAACATAGCTCGTTCTCCGGGGTCCTAAGTGTTAAATCGTATTTGATTCGAGGCTTTTGGATTATATAATGCATTTAATAAATACTTACTCTGAGAATGCATTTATTAAAGTGCTAAGACTCAGGTGCTTTGTGTCGTAATTTGGCTAAGTAAGAGCTAAAAATCCTTGAAAATGTCGTTCATAGTAGAACGCCCGTAAATCGGCTTTTTGGATCAAAACCGTGGGAAATAATGATCCAATGTTGGAATGTCATACCTCATCGAATTCGTAATACAATTTTCAATCGATTTGCTTTTTCAGCTAAAAAATTTTGTTTTTTGCCACTTTTTGCAAATAATGACGACCTAACCCCTTATAAAAAAATGAAAAATCGGTCCAAAATTAAAAATGTTTAAATCGACTTGGGATTGAAAGTTTAGGTCATCAGCTGCACAAAACGGTTATTCTTTTTGGTGTGCGACATTTTTGGGCTAAGTTAGAACAAAATACCCGTATTGAAACTCGGAAATTTTTGACCAAAATTATAATAATTTATATTTAAATTTCTCCTAACCATAGTAGGAATAGCTTTCAGTTTCCCAGTTCTCTATTATTTGTTTAATAGTGCGTTGTAATTGTTTAAAATTATTATGTAGCCAGAGAAATTAAATTTTTAGCTTGCAATCAAGCCTTGTGACCAGAGCACAGACGCCATTAGCTCCTTAATTTCTGGCTCATTGAAAACCGTGGAATATGGGCAAAAAAGGCAATAAGGACAAGAAAGGCAAAAAGAAGGGCAAAAGCGTGCTTATACCCAAAAATGTGGAGCCTCCAGTTCCGCCTGAACCAGTATTCGAAAGGACAGTGCCCTTCTTTTCGTTCGATCTTATTATAACGCGACTGGAGGTCAAGGGCGTCGTTCTGGCAGATCCCCGAAAGCTGCTGGTAAAGGTCACCTTTGGGGACAAAAACCTTAGCCTCACAGCCAGTCGGACCAACATAACCGAGTTTAAGCCAAATGCTAGTCTGAACTTCCAGGCTGAGCCACCGAATCTTGCCCAGAAAGTGGAGGAAAGTGGCCTGAACTTCGAGGTGGAGTACGATAATCAAGTGGTAGGTTTGGGCCAGGTGCTTCTGCCAAAAAGATTAACAGGACGAATTAAACTGGACATGAAGGCGTTCTCCTACACAAGCACATGCCCACTGGAATTGGCAAAAAAGCCGGTCGGCAATCTGGAGTTTCTTTGCAAGCTGTTTATTAAATGCGGCGAATATGCCAGGTGAGCGGGGATTGCCTTTAATAATACTTAATAATTAGCTCGTTTTGTTTCCAGGGAGGGCGAAACCTGTCCGAACTTAAATAAGAACATTAGCCCAAAGGATATAGTGTTTGTCATCGGAAAATCACAGCCTAACACCAGCAGCTGCGATCCCTGCCGAAATGTTCTGGAGATCGATGCGAGAAAGCATAAGGACTATACCATTCAAGCTAATTCCAGTCGTAAATAAAAACACTAAACTTTTCGGATAATCATGCATGCTAACAATAATAAAAAGAAAAGAGCTAAAGCCAAAATACAAAGTTTTTTTTATAATTATTCAAAGAATTAAATCTGAATTTACATACCTTTATAAGGCTGTTCAAAAATAAATAATTTTAAGCGAGAATATAAAATTGATGTCCAATCCTTATAAAAACTGTAGGATACTTTTTCAAAGCACTTGAATTTAAGATAAGAAATTAATGCCTTGGACTATAAAGATGATTTTGTTATATTTGTACCTCCCAAGCATCTTTACCAACCTGTTGTTACTATTATAATTTAAACATGACCTAAGTTTATGGTTTTCCTAAGTACATACTCAAACTTTAATATATTAAACTCCATCAACCAAGCTCCCTCTCACACCCCATAGTTTGTTTTCTTCGTTCATGTCTTGTTTGCTGGCCAAACAGCTTTAAAGTATCCTTCTGGCTTTAAAAATGTCCATGTTGAAATCGTTTTTTTATCTTTTGGCTGTCGAACTTTGCTCTGCTTGATTAGAATGCGACTTCAATTTGAGATATTTTTCTGACTTTTGTAGATAAGCAAATATTTGGGACCGGAATCAGGTTGAATTTTTATTACACATTTTGCTCATTTTAATGTCCTGGTTGCCCTGAGTTGTTTGTCTGGTCCTTCTGCCCAAGTATCCACCCCCCTGCATTTTGAGGCACATGTGTGTGCGCATAAAGGAAAGTGAGTTCATCTATTTTTTATTCGCCCTCAGCCAGATGCTTCAATTTCATTTATATATACGTACATGTAAATGGCTGTTGCCCATATTACGCTCGGGAACATTTCAATATATTGACTTCTTCGCGTGTTTGTGGCCCTTTCCATTGTGCAAAACTCTTAAGCCCAAAGAAACTCCCAGTCAAGTAAATAATTGAATATTTATTCGATTTTTGAACTTAATTTTGCTGCTGCTGTGCTTCTTAGTCCTGCTTTTCAGAAGGATTCCATTGTTGGGGAAACATTTTTTACAGCATCAAGTTAAATTACATCCGCTGTCTGACATAATAATGCATATTACACCAACAATGTGCGATAATAACATCAGAGAAGCGAGAATCCGAGCAGAGGACTCCTTAGCGTTGGGCTCGGACTTTCAGCTCGGAACCGCAAAGCGGAAATTAAAACTTCACTCAATGAAGTGGCGAATGTGTGTGTTTTGGCGCTTAGTTGGAACTTTAAAAAAGGAATACCTTAAGAACTGTAAAAATTCTACCTAAAAATGCGTAGTAGGCTAGATTTTTAAAATCTTTTTACATGTTATAGTTTGATTTTTTAATTTTTTTGTGCTGTTCAGATTAAGTTAGTTCCTCTGTAACCAACTAAAGAATATAATTGCATTGCCAAAAAAAATAGCTGTTCAAAATTACTCATACGCCTCGTGTGGAATTTGAATAAAAATAAAGCTTTCAACAAAAACAAATGCTACCCCAAAAAGTGAGCCAACATTGCGTATGCATGATCAAAACTTGAAGTATCTATTAGCTTACTGTAATAATAGGTTGTATTTTTATTTCTATGGGAACTTTTAAGCTCCACTCTAAAATACCCGTACTAAAGTAAAGTTTTGTGTGTGAGTGCTCCTTGCGTTCTGTTTGCCATTCCGTGCATCCTTAGAGCAATTCAGGCGAACAAAACACCAGACAAATATCCGTTTGCGGTTCTGTGCATTGAATCGAATTCCGGCGCACTTTTTAATGAACTCGAAATTCCTGGCACATGCGAAACCAGCAAGGCCATCTGTGTTTTTTCCTACTAGACCCGAACACCCACTCACAGACTCACAAAATTGAGACAATCGGCATTGACATGCCCATATATATTTGATAGAAATACAATATTGGAAAAACAACTAAAACTTACCTGTGCACTTTTCGAAGCTTCTGCCAGTGGAATAATTGAATCAAATTCTGTTGAAACTCTGCCCAGTTTAATAAGTTTTTGCAGTCTGCCAATAATAAAGCCTTTTCTGCAATCGAAAGCAATCTCTGCGGAATATGCTGCTGAAAATGCAATTAACTGAAAGCCAAACACATGCCTCTGCTTATCAATATGCTTCAGTATTTATTTAAGTATTTCTCACTTTGCTTTAGTAGTTTTCTTTTTGAGTAAACTTAGTTGAGTGATTTTCAATTTATACAGAATATAGAAACTAGCTGAAAGGAAGGGGTGTCAACTTAGGGTTAAAGGTGAATATATCGGGGGTTATTGATCTAAGCATATACAGAGACATATACAGATATACACAAAAACATTTACAGCTAACGATTTAATCTGGGGACTCTCGGCTACATATGCAATGACAAACGCACACACATTTAACTAGTTACTGATATTCTTTTAATGCATAGTTTATTTATCCATTCTAGGCGTATTAGACAGCAACAATGAACTATAATTTTCCACTACGGATTTGCTTGACTTATGCTGTTTGAGATTCAATAATTTACAAGTTAATTTGTCTCTATGCGGATTATGTAGTTCATGTTTAGACTATTAAATGCTTTCAGCATAATTGTTGAAATGTGGCTAATGATCCACTGACCACTTCGTTTCGCTATTCATTCATGTATTTGCGCATGTACTTGAATTTAATTTAATTTAATTTAATTTAATTTGCTATACTTAGAGCTAGACAAACGTTTAAGTTTCACTTAGCGCTTTCAAGGGTTCCTTAGTAAATTCGAAAGTGGGAGAGCAAGAGGTACAAAAGAGCCTTACATACAGTGTCTTTGTTGTGTTGTCGATACATGACTTTGCCATTTGGCTTACAACTAAAAACTTGGTAGTTTCTGTTTCCGTTTTCGCTTCATCATCTTGTTGCTTATATGGTAATACAATATAGATATTCTCGGGGTCGCTTACTTTCACCCGCTTTTCTGCCATTTATTTACATAATTTGATTTCGAGATTACTCGTCCTTACGCACTAAAGGGTAGAGTTTACACAACGCAATCACCTTAAGGTACAAAATAGTAAAGTAAAGGTACAGAATTCCCATGGCTGAGTGTGTGTGCGTGCGTGTCAGTGTGTGTGAGTGTCTGAGTTTGCGTGATATGTGGCTGATGTTGGGGCGAATAGCCCTCGACGTTTAGCAATTAATAATTCAAAACTTTTCTGATATGTTCGAGAGAGACGCTAAACTGTGGTTCACCCACCACAGTGGGTCGTTGGTTCGGTGGTTTGCCGGTTAGTGCCTTTCCATGGACAATTTCCACAAGCAAACGCTGCCAGGCCTGTCATAAAACTGCAGTTGCCTCCTACATTTGGTTGAAATGTGAAAATGCAGCTCAGCCGTGGTCCCCGAGGACGGGATATGGCCACTAATGCCCCGGCATTTCCTCCCGGCCTCGAGTTGCCAGCTCAGGGCGGCTCAGAGCAGCTCAGTTGAGAGAATGTGTCAACTTCTGTGTCAATTGTATGGCCATTAAAGTACGACGCAGCATTGCTCCCCCTCTCGCCACTCCGGAAAAATAACTAACTTTCTATTTAAAGTTTTATAGAAAGCAGAGTGCATGCCCATTCATATTATAGGAAAAAGATTAAAAAATTAAACTTAAATTTGAGCTCCTCTTATAGTTAAATGTTAATATTTTTAAACAAAACGTTAAACATCTCAGTGTTTATTAGATTTTATATTTAATAAATGAATACCATTAATAATTAAAAAAAACACACCTCGTTGAAGAGTGAGCAATTTTTGGGAATAAGCCACTAAATCATCTTCATACTTTTTATATACTTTTTATAACGGGCCAAAGAATCATAGTTTGTGTGTTCTGGTTCATGATTTTTTGAACACACATTTTTTTTAGTGTTCTGATTTTATATTCGAACATGTCAGGCATTTTTTGACATTTGACTATTTTGTGTTATCTCTGCAGTGCCAGAGGCAAAGTTTTATTTCCACCAAAAAAATGTTGTAACCAGTCGATGCAGGATTCTTTGGGAGTGGGAAATTCCCCAGGACTCCCTATAGTTTCAGCACTTAAAGCTGCTAAACCAGCTGTCAGTTGCATTAGAAGCGGAGGACCAAGTGACTGAAATTCACTTTCCCGACCCCGAAGAAAAAGAGCCAGGTGAAGGTTTAAAAGTACGACCAAAAGGTCGATTAGATAATTTGTTGATGCCACTCCTAGCCAGGACACCAATTCTCTTTGAAATTTTTGATTGGCTCACTGAACTGCAAAGTGAAGAACTGGAAGCACATGAATTGAAATCTCGAGGGCTGTTATTAAATAACTTTTGATGGTCTATCTGCGGTCACTTAAATACCGGGCACAAAAGTTTGTCTTTGTTTATTCATGCGAGCACTGAAAGCCATTTGTATAGTGACCGGTTTTTCACACAAAATGCATATGAGCATAAGGCAGAATTTATTTAAGCATGCAAACAAAAGTGTTGAAAATGGCAGCAAGTACACGCGGATGGATGGATGGATGGTTGGGTGGATGGATGGCCTGATGGATGGGCGGGTTGGCAGCTGGTAGGCGTGTCGGTGTTAAAATCGCAGCATGTTTCACGGCAATCACTCCTGAGCATTGTTTTCACTGCTCCGCGTTTTATTTTCGCTGCAACAACAGAATCAGCAGAAAAACACAATAAAACAAAAACAAAAAAATAATCAAACAAAAATAATAAAAACAAACACAAAGCATTAATTAGTTAAAGTTACAGGATTAAAATAGGTCGGATAATCAAAATAACCATAAAATCAAACCCCAAAGTTATTCATTTCGACAATCAGTTAATGGCAGCTAGGATAATCGGATCCTAAAATGATGTGGATGATTGCAAAAAAAACCCACCCAACAATAACAAAACAAATTGGCAGATCAACAGTTATTCAGCTAAGGATATAGTCGGCCGAAAATTGGTACGTCATGATTGGCCAAATATAAACCCATAAAGTCCAACCCAACTAACAAACCAGAGTTATGGCATTTCCGATCAATCAGTTATAGGCTATAGGATAATCGCCGATGGCCGTTCCGACTTAAAAAGAAAAGGAAGTTGAATT